AACTCGCGTGGCTGGACCAGATAGGCCAAGATGCGGTGCTCAGCAAGCTGGCCGACTTGACACGCCGCTCCTATAATGCAGGTTGGAAGCAGTGGACCATTTTCATGAGTGGAACTGGTTTCCCCTTGTTGAGTGGGGAAACTCGGACTGAGAGGCAAAGTGATGAGGCTTGGTTTTCCTGCACGAGACGATGGGGCGTACCGCCCAGAGCATTCGTCAGAGGCTGTCTGGAATCCGGTAGACTCATATCGCAGGTATCCCGACCCGTTGTTGGGCGAGTCCGCTTGTGGGCAGCCCTAGCAGGGACGCAGCGTTGGGACGGTGACGGCGCACCGGTTCGTAAGGTCCCGGGACTCCAGCGATGTTGGGCTGGATTTATTCTTACCTTCGCAGCTCGACTCGACCCGAAGCGTCGCACGCGCAGCCATGGAGGCGAAACCAGCAGCTGGGATGGGGCGACAGTATCTCTCTCCTGGGTGGACCAATGGGGGCGCCTGGACGTTCCTGGAGCTTACTCCTAAAACAAGGCCAGCACATGAAAGCGCTCAAAAAGCTGGCGATCCGACAAGGCCGGGGCGGACAACCGGGAGGAGGCCAGCGTGAAGTTCCAGGCCCCTCGGCAACGCCAAAGAGATGCTCTGACTCCAACTCTCAGGGTCCTCCACAACAACATGCTTGGTGTTGGTCTGACTGGCACTCTGCCCCCTCCTTCAGCTCCTCCTTCGACATCTCGTGGAGCTGTGTCAGAGTACGGAACGCCTATGTACGGAGGCAAAGCAAGGCCTAGCAGTGCTTGGTGGATGTTAGTTCGGAGGAGGACGAGTATGAGTGGCAGGAGGACAGTTGGGGCGAACCGCCATGGGCCAGGGCCACCCCTCACCGGTTTGGTCGTTTTGCCATGTATGCCGGCAGCAGCAGAGACGGTTATTGCTGCTGGTGTGGGTGGATCCGGAACCACCGCACGCAGGTGGTGACTTCGCTGATGGTCGTTTTGTCCCGATGGCCTCGATCCCAGAACTTATCGAGCCTCGACTGCAAAAAAGGCGCCACCGCCACCGCCACCCTACACTGGAGCCTGGGAGGATTCTTACACACCGCCACCGCCGAGCTCTACCTCCAGCCAACCCCAGGCTCCACCAGCGGCATCTTCGGCTTCTTTCTTCTCGGCGAGACCGCCCCCACCGACTCCTTCGGCGGCTCCATCGGCCGGTAACCAGCCTATGCCGAAGAAGGCGCCTGCGCCCGGCACCCCGAAGGCATCACGGGCATCTGCCTTCGAGAATGCCATCAGGTGGTTCTGTTGTGTCTGCGGGGAGGCGAACCGCCTCAATCGGCACGCATGCAACGGCGGCGGCAGTCCTGCTCGTGCCCGTGCTCATCCGATCTGTGTCGGATGCTGCCGAGCTGCCCAGCCATTGGCGTCGAGGAGGCGGCGGCGCCACCTTGGGACGTGCTGTCAACGAGAATGTTGAGGAGGGACGCCAGGAGCCGGGGTATGCTGCACCGGTCGCCTGACCTCGAGGTGCGTGGGCGTCGACCTTCTTCTGGCGTAGCTCCTTCATCGTCTTGTGGGGCAAGTTCCAGGGTGTCTTGGCCTGTGGTCCGGCTTTCGGAGTGGCCTGGACCATACCCTTGGCGGTGACAACCCAGCGGGACCCGCAAATGTCGCATACCTGCTCCGTACGCGCGTAGGCCCGACGGATGTCTGCAGGCGGCCACTGAAACGCACGATCACTCCAGTCATCAAGACGCATGGCCAGGTGTCCACATGGTGACAGCCAAAGCATGGCTGAACGCTTCAGCGCCCTGAATTAAACCGAACCTTTCTGTACATCCGGAACAGCACCCAAGATTTCAAAGGCCTTCGAGAAAGGAGTGCAGGGGCCTGGGCTTCAACAGCGCTCAAGGCTGTGCCAAAGGGGACGCCTGCGATCGCTGCGAGGTACACAAAACGTCCGAGGCTTGCAACGGCTTTGTTGGGTCCGAAGGAGAACCTGCACTTGTCGGGGTAGTCCAACCGTTGCAAGGGGGAAATCTCCTGGGCCTTGAGGTCGTGCCAAGCTTGCCCTGCTACCTGCCGCTGACATCCCGTATCCGCTATTGCATAAGCCGAAGTGTGACCTTCGTAGTACTGGGATTCTTGTATCTCTTGGGCTCGAAGTCAGACAGAGGCGGCAACAAGAACAACACCTTCTTTTCCTTTTGCTCGGGCTCGAGAGTTGGGGCAGACAAGTTGGCCTCGGCATCTGACAACCAGGCCGTCGGGGTCCAGGGTCAAGCCCGGGATGCTTGCTGAAGCCAACTGGGCATTCTGCACGGTGAAGTTCGGGCAATCTCCCAGCCAGTGATCCGCCGAGCAGCCAAGGCACAAGCTGCCCTGTAAGCGTTGTTGCTGCACAGCTGAGTTGCGATCGATCTTGCCCTTGCCTTTGCCTTTTGCGTCGAGAAAGCGCCCTTGGCGCCCTGACCTTTGGTCGAGCCTGCGCCCTTGCCCTTGAAGGAGTTGCCGCCCTTCTTGCCCTTCGTCTTGCCCTTGCCCTTCGAGGAGTCGCTGCGATAGTAGCCACGAGCCTGGACCAGTCCTGCAAGCTTGCGCGACGTTACTGTCAAAGCTTCCGCAGCAGCAAGTAGAACATCGCCTTGGGGGTCTTCGGTCCAGTCGTCCGCACCATCCTGCCCCTCGCCGTTCGGGTCGTCGTGGTAGTAGCTGTCGTCCTGCTCCTCTTCGGCGAGGTTCACGTCGTCGTGGTAGTCCTCGGCGGCGTCCTCGTCTTCTTCCTCGGCCGTAGGAGGCAGAGGTTCGGGAGCATCATCCTGAGCCAAGTCGTTTGGCCAGTCGTCGTTCTCGCCGTCCCAAGCCGGGTTCCACTAGCCGGGTTCCACTGCTTCCATCTGCGCGTGCCAGAACTTCTCGAGGTAGCCGAGGATCGAGCGGAAGCGCTCGACAAACTGGCCGTCGAGGAAGAAGCCGCAGTTCTGGACCTGGAAGGCCTTGGGCCCTTGGGTCATGCCGGGGACGGCGCCTCGAGCACCTTTGCAGTGAGGATATAGAACGTTCGTCCAGTCGAAGTCCATCTAGGAGCTTCACCACACGAGCTTGTTCCGGGTAAGCCGGGACGCCACGCTTTCGCCTTGCAAACCGGCCGATCTGCTCGAACTCACGGATCGTGCCTCCCTGAGCAGGACCTCCACCCCGTTCGTGCAGTCGTACCTGGAGTCGTCCACTTCCTCCAGCTCGAGTTCAGCTTCTCCGCGAAGTTGTTCAAGTGCTCGAAGCGCCTGCGCGTTCGCAGGCTCCATCTCTTGAGCTTCCTCCGGTAGTGCCGGAGACAGTAAGGATCCTTTTCAATGTCGCCGTCGAAGGAAGGAGCCGTAAGTATGGCTCAGGCGCCACCGCTTTCTCCTGAGTGTCCTTGCCACCGGCTCCTGAAGAGCCTGCTCCGCCGCGGGAGCCTCTCTTCCGCCTGGGGCCAGACGAAGCTTCCAAAGTCTGCACCGTGTCATTCGATGCCGCGCCAGAGCCACCACCAGTCAAGGAGGAGGCTTCGATGTCGCTGGCATCAGCGCCTTCCGGCCTCCTTGTCCATCCAACAGGTCGTCGTCGAAGAACATGGAGTCGCGAGTAGCCTGGGCCTTTTTGACTCACATGCGCAAGCTCTCCAATGGAGAGGTCATGTAGCGGTTGCAACACATGTGAACATGGCCCTTCACGCTTTACACGGAGCGTGAGTTCAACAAAAGGAAACGCAAGGCGCACAAGCCGTCACAAAGAAGACACACAACAATTGCAGAACTTTGCAGAACTGTCTGTATGACTTTCGCCTCCTCACCACTGCCTTCAGCATCTTCTTCCTAAGATGCGTCGCTGCAAGCACTGCGCACACTGTGGCCATCGCTCCAGTGCCAAGCCTGTTGTTGTGCCGTGGCTGCGGCATCGCCCTGTGTCATCGTCAGCGCTTCTCAGCAACGCAAACCCCGAACCGAAGATCACACGCCTGCTGCGGATGCAGAACTGCTTGCGCGTCTGCGGATAGATCCCCCTGAAAGCATGCTCACGCATGCCGCAGCAGGCCACATATCCAAGACAACACAGGCTGCAAGAGTGATGCAATTCGGCCTGCCCTGCGGTGGCACTTTCGGCAACCAACTGACAGCAGCCAACAAGCAGACTCGAACAAGGCACGGCACCCTACGAGTGCCCAGCCTCTTCAGCTGGATCAGTCCTTCCTTGCTGCACAGCCATGGCTTCCACATGCACCTGCGACATGTGCGATTTTCCCAGCTAGCGTGGTCAGATCGGAAATCTCCGAGAAGTTGAGGAAACGCACGGCGCACAAGTCGTCACAAAGAAGACACACAACAATTGCAGAACTTTGCAGAACTGTCTGTATGACTTTCGCCTCCTCACCACTGCCTTCAGCATCTTCTTCCTAAGATGCGTCGCTGCAAGCACTGCGCACACTGTGGCCATCGCTCCAGTGCCAAGCCTGTTGTTGTGCCGTGGCTGCCGCATCGCCCTGCGTCATCGTCAGCGCTTCTCAGCAACGCAAACCCCAAACCGAAGATCACACACCTGCTGTGGATCCAGAACGTCCAGAACTGCTTGCGCTTCTGCTGGTAGAACATCTCCCTGAATTGTGCGATTTTTATGGTGGGTGTCATGATTTTGTCTCCATGCAACAGGGCCTGTGTCCGAAGAGCAAGCGAAGCTCCGCAGCTGGGGCAGACCTGGCGCAGGCACAGCCCAGCGTCGAAACGCAACTTCTGGCTGCGGTCGCCCCACCGTCGCTTCGTTCTCGGACACGGGCACCGGCGAAGCCCTTCGCGCCAGGACGTTGCATCCCGCCTTTCCCTTTCCCTTTCTCTCTGCCTCTCCCCTTCAAGGCACCGCCCGTCTGCAGCCAGCTGCCGCCGCTCCAGCTCAGCCAGCTCAGCACCTGCGGGGTGTGCGCGATGTGCGCGATTCGCGACCGCAACGGCGGACCGCGCGGCGTGGAAACGCGGCTGCTTGGAAACTCGCGGCGCCGCGGCCGGGGCACCATCGCTTCCCAAACTTCCCTCTTCGGCCGCTTCCGGGCCGAAAACGGAGCCGGGGCCCCAAAGATCCTCCGTAAGATTCGACATACGCTCTCAAACTGCTGCTACACGCTTGCACGCGCTTTTCGAGCTCCGCGCTTCGCAGGTCTGCACTCCTGCGCAGGGACAGGACAGGAATCAGTCGGACATTCAGCCCCCTTATCTCCTGCTGACACCGCCCGGCGAGGGCTCTTGGAAGCCTCTGAAACAAGCCACAAGCAGCCGCAATTGCGCACGTGGCAGCGCGCACCTGCGGGCTGGCCGCGAGAGCCTCCGCCTCCATCTCTGCCGGTGAGGCCTCTGCCTCTGTGACCTCTGTGACCTCTGCGACCTCTGCGACCCGACCCTCTTCCGAGCCCGGGCCCGAAGGGGCAAGGGGGGCAAGGGCAGAGTCGCAGCTTTCTTCCGAAGGCGGGACTTCCGTTACCGGAACCGCTGGAACCGCTGCCTCGCCTTCTGTTTGCTCCGCAGCCTCCGCCTCCGCCGCCTCCGCCGGTCTCGTGGAAGGAGGAGGGCTGCCAGGGCTGCTCTCGCTCTCAGCCGACTCGAAGTCGGTTCCCAAGACAGGGCTCGCCACGCTTTCCTCCGAGCCGGAAAGTTGCCCCTCCTCCTCCTCCTCCCTGTCCTGCCTCTCCGGGTCTTCCCCTTCCTCCTCCGAAGCCTCCCCTTCCTCCCTCGGAGAAAGCTCGGAGAAGCCCTCGCCTTCGCTCGTCTCTCTCTTGCTGCTGTGGCCCTCCTTCTTTTGCTTCAAAGCCTCGCTCGATGTGCCAAGAAGCAGCAAATCCAAATCTGCGAAGCAAGGACGACTGCCTGCAGGCGCTCGACTTTCTTGGCCATCCTCCGCAAGCTTTGGCTCTTCTCCTGCAAGCTGCGGCTCTTCTGCCTCGGGCGCACAAGAAGGGTGACGGGGGGGCCCGGGGGGGGGGAAGGCGAGGACTCCAGCGCGACTCCGGCCGCGCGGCTGGGGCCCCGAACTGCAGCAGCTCCTTCGTCCGACTCAGCTCCCGGGTCAGCCTGCGCAAGCGCATCCGCGCATCCGCACTGACACGCGCCTGCACACAGCCTGCACCTACACGCACCCGAGCATGGCCCATCACTTAGGACATCTTAGGACCAGGCTCCAGCTGGCCCTCTTCCTTTTCGCTAACCGCGCCAACCGCGGAGACCGCCACGGCCTCCTTCTTCGCCCTGTCCACCTCTCGGCCGTCTCGCCAGTCTCGCGTGCGAAGCGTGTGAAACGCTGAAACGCCTCGCTGCGCAGCCGCACCAACTCCTCGCGGCGGCAAGGGGCAAAGGAGTGCAGAACGCGACAGCGCGAGCACGCCAGAGCACGCGCGATCCGGCGCGAGAACGGCGCGAGCACGCGCCTGCGTCATCGTCTCCAGCTCCTTCTCGGCCGCTTCCTTCTTGCTCTCCTCGAGCTTCGCGAAGTTTTCGGCCACGTTGGCCCTTTGCCGCTCAAGCGAGGACTCTTGCAGCTCATCTGGCGGCACCTCAGAGAGAAGAACCGAACGACCTAAGGCCACCTTCTCTCCCTGTTCTGCTCGTTCTCTCTCTCGTTCTCTCTCTCTCTCGTTCTCTCTCTCTCTCTGTCTCTCTCTCTCTCTCTCTCTCTCTCTTAAATGACACTACCCAATTGTACCATGAATGTTCACGATGCATTTGTGAATGCAACAATGCCGAATGGCATTGGCTCAAGACTGGACGACTGCTTGGTTGCACAAAGGAATGCTCGTGAGTGTGTGACTGG